CTAATGGATCAAGACATTATTCTGAAGACTTGGGAAGGTAAATCTGACTATATGACTGATTAGCTGGAGGAGTCAGTATTCGCTTTTATCTCTGATTCTAGCTATGGAAGGAAAAATATACTAAAGTCTCCCTACTTTATACAAATGTAACAAAAATAAACATGACTGCCTTTAGGAATCTACTTTTGGTTCACAACAAAAGAAACAACCTAATTATAAACTTCCTTTTTTCTTTCTTTTAAACTGTTTTCTCAAACTAATTTTTAAATGACCAACACATTTTCAAAGGACTCTATTAGAATGTTAAAAAATCTGACCCGTCATCAGAGTAATGCAAAGCAAAAAAAAAAGAAAAAAAGAAAAAAAATCTGACCCGTTGGATAGAATTTATGGAAATGATAAAAAGGATATGGAAATTGGGCTATGAACTATTCAGAAGAATCCATACAGAGACAAGATTAACTAATTACAAGCCAGTAAGAACACAACCCCCAAACAGGAGACTTGTCAGGAAATTTGGCTGCAAAAATACTGCTGTTTATGTTAAAAGACAACATTTAAAACTTTAAATGAGAGGCTCTGAGAGACAATAAAAATGGTCCCAGCTATTCCATGGGAAACTATATACCATCACCAAAAAAACTACAAAATCAAGACAACTGCTAAATATGAGAAAGCACAGATGTAACAAAGAGAATGTAAATTTTAAAGTGCCTCAGGCCGGGCACAGTGGCTCACACCTGTAATCAGAAATTTGGGAGGCCTAGACAGGCAGATAAATTGAGGTCAGAAGTTCAAGATCAGCCTGGCCAATACGATGAAACCCCACCTCTACTAAAAATATAAAAATTAGCCAGGCATGGTGGCACACGTCCGTAGTCCCAGTCACTCTGGAGGCTGAAGCAGGAGAACTGCTTGAACCTGGGAGGCGAAGGTTGCAGTGACCCAAGATCGCACCACTGTACTCTAGCAGCAAGACTCCCCCAAAAACAACAACAAAAAAATGAAGTGCCTCAAATCCTCCAAAAACAATGAAATATAAACACTTCAAAATAGGCAGCTGGGGCCGGAGATGGCAGCTCACGCCTGTAATCCCAGCTACTCGGGAGGCTGAGGCAGTAGAATCACTGGAACCTGGGAGGCAAAGGTTGCATTGAGCCAAGATCGCACCACTGCATTCTAGCCTGCGTGACAGAGAAAGACTCCCATCTCAAAAAACATAAATAAATAAAATAAAATGCAGTTGGTTTAATTTGACAAAACACTGTTGGATCAAACTACAAGTGAAAAAAAGACCGGACCTAATAAAAGACAAACAGGCTGTCATGCTAGTCCAAAAGATAATGGTTATGAGGTTACCTAGGTTACCTATTAAACCAATCTCACAAGGCCACTGTCAGGGTAGATTTGATCTAAATCGAATATAAGTCACTGGTCAGGAGATTATATATTCATGGACACAGTATATTCTTCAGAGAAATTCTACCTGCTGCTTTCACTCCCACTAGAATGTAAACTCAATGAGGAAAAAACATTTTTCTATCACTTCCCTGCTGTCTATGTAATAAGTAATTAATAATCACTTACTTAAAACAATTGAAAGAACAAAATCATCCAACTATGACTTATTATTTTCCAATTTCGTGAAGAGAGTATGCATAGTATCACACGTTGAACATCAAGATTTTTATCCCTCATCTAGAAATAAAGCTGTCCACGATTGATCATTCTCTAAAGCCAGTTTCAGAACTAAAAGGAGAACTAAAAGGAAGCTTTTATTTAACAGACGATGGGATACTTTAGATTCAGACACAGTCATTTTTCCACTAGACAAGCTAGTTTTGTTCTACATAATCCCTGTTTCGTGATAATATCTGAGCTTCCCCCTCTGAGGCAGTAAAATTCTCCTTTTGTAAATATAAAATCTACTAAATAAATCACTTCACAGCCAATGGCCTGACAAAGCTAGGTCATGTTTTCAGTAAACATTTAACAAGCACACAAAAGTAAAACCTCTTTAGTTTACACAGAACAGAGTAAAACAACCATGCAGGGAATCACCCAACATAATCACAGTCACGCACTGCATAACACTTTGGTACATGAAAGACTACATATACAATGGTAGTCCCATAGAACTGTAATATCGTATTTGTACTCTACTTTTCTACATCTACAAATATGTATATCTACGTTTTAGATACACAAAACTTACCATTGTTTTACAACCGCCTCCAGTATTCAGTAGAGTAACATGTTATACAGCTCTGTAGTCTAGGAGCAACAGGCTGTACCATATAGACTAGGTGTGTAGTACCATCCAGTTTTTACTCTATGATGTTTGCACAATGACAAAATCACTTAAGGATGCTTTTCTCAGAATGTATCAACTGTAAATGTAATTCAACTGAGATGTGATTGAATATATTCAATGTAATATATACGACATATATGCTAATATATACATTATATGTGCTTTCATTTACTGAATATATATTATATAACATATATATGCTAAATATAATGTATACACAGTGTATATGTATGCAGTGTAAACACCAGAAAAACAAGAGAAGAAAATAAAGTTCACATGAGTATTTTGAAGATGATTCGGTGAAAGGACTTTTTAGCTACACTAAAAATATTTAAACCTAGATAATGCCATACTATTAGATTTCACAACTAAGGAAATTAAAAAATTTAGGTAATTTAAAAATTTGCCTATAAATTTTTAAAATTCAAATTAAAACTTTGTGAAATTCAAAAACTCACATTTCAGGAAGATAGTGGTATTTCTGAAGAGGATCTTTCCAAAACTAAAATAATTTTTCCCCTGCAAAGATACAGGAAAGATAATTAGCCTCAGATGGCTTCAATTCCCAAGGCATAATGTAACTATCTAAGGCTGCTATAAATCCCAACTTAACTTAAATGTTTACGGGATGTAACCCTTAATCAGTTCATTCCTTTCACTCACCAATCACTGCCCAGAATAACCATTTTTTCAAACGAACTATTCTATGTACAGATAACCAGTTTTATTTTCAAATCTAAAAACACTAAACTATTAACCATTTTAGTGACAAGTAAAAACCTAATTGAAAATATGAAAAATCTTCACCAATGAACAAAAGGTATGTTTGCCATATATAAAAGTCCAAATAAGATTTGGACATTACAATCAGTGAGACAGCAGAATGAAACAAAAAGGCCAATGTAGGTTTAATAGGAGTAACGCTTTTCAGCATTTCCTCCCTGCATCTGGTTTTTGCCTGCTCACAGGACTATACCTGTTACTGAAATAAGATTTAAAATGGGTACGGGGCAGAAAGGTTCAACCCATATAGCTAATTGTCCAAATAAAAGACTAGCCTTACCACATTAAATTTTAAGTGCCATTTCTTGCGCTTTAACCATTTCCATGTTAAACACATTTTTAAAATCTCTATGGTTTCTAGTCACACAGTAAAGCTTAGAATATCCATTTCAAAAGTTGAAGCGAAGTCGAACCATCTCGTAAGTAGAATTAATCAGGGACCAGAGAAGTGCAGAGGAAAAAAAGAAAGAAATGAATACTCCTATTTACATATCTGTCTTATCCAACCTGGGATTACAGGATTCTGTGAAACATAATCCGAAAGATAAACCACTCTCCGTCTGTACATCGAGTTTACATTTCAAGGTAGGCACTGAAAGTTCTGCTCTTCCGAGGAGAAACCGCTCCACCACTCCTTTCTGTTACTGAACTAGCCCAGACATTCCCCTCCCTAGCCTAACCACAGAAGTGCGCGGCTTTCCGCTCTAGGTAGGTGGGTCCCAGTGGGCCAACGAAACAGACCTTCCCGGCAACCCCACCCCTTTTGAAAAGACTTTTGCGGAACCTTCATGGACCCCTTGGGCCGCCGTAGCCCCACCCCTTACTCCTCTAGGTTCAGACGCCAGTGAAGTGAATACTCACCGACGGTATCGGAATGTGCCATTTGGACCGGTCGGCAGCAGCCACTGGTGCCGGTCCCGTACTGAAAAGCGACAGTGGGGACGGCTGAGCTCCCAGAAGCAGAAGGATGACAGGGAACACCTGAAGACACGCAGCCGGCGCCATCTTCACAGCCGTTGAGTGCCTACCGAAAGCATTTCACCTTCTTCCGGTTCGTCCCGCGTTCTTCCGGCTCTGCTCTCAGGGCGGGATTATCCGGGTCCTGGAAACCTCGCGGTTTTTGTTTGCTGTGTGAACTAGCGACCCCTCCCTCACAGAGTCGTCTGTGCGCCTTGAGACTTTGGACCTACAGCGCAGGCGTCATCCCGTTGGAACCTGGTCAGCTGGGTTAGGGAGATCACCAGATGCCATCCTGTCCTGCGTCTTTTGTCTCTCTCGACCCTTAAAGAGTTGGGGGACCAGGCAGGCACCGCATGCGGGAGTTGTCTCTCTACTTCTCCCGCTCCGCCCCTGCCCCTCATCCCTTCTAAGTCTGTCAGACTTTGGGGCCAGAAAGTCTAGAAAAGCCCTAAGTCTGGCTACCTAATTGGCATCTAGTAGTGAGTTCTCCGGTTTGGGTGGTATTTAAGCAAAGGCTGGAATTCGGCGGTGGTGGAGTACACGCGATCCCTAGACTGGGTAGTGTACCTTCGAGTCACCTTCTAGTCCTGAGGAGTACGATGCTGCAGTAGAGTCTGGCCGGTGACCTAAACTCCAGCACAGACTGGGCCGACACTTCCCACTTTTCACCGAAAACTGGTACAGAGAGGGTCAGTTTTGAAAATCTGTGGCGTGACCCCGTCACTGAGATAGACCTGCAGATGCTTCGTCCCAATCAGGGAGTCCGTCTTGGCATTTCCCGGTTCTCACACTCTTGATTTTTACCCTCGACGGTTTATTGTTTACCTGCCCTCACCACCGCACTGACAGTTTCGGTTTCTAACAAAAGCACTTTCCTCCTCAGCTGCTCATAATCAAGACAAATTTGCCAAATAAATCATTGTAGAAACGCTAGTTTGGGCCTGAAAAATTCCAGGAGCAAGACTTGAGGACTGTCACTCCGTGAGGATCTGGAGGGGGACTGCCTTCTCAGAAACTTGACGGTGAAGTGCTGATTGTAATTTTAGAAGGACAGCTAATTGGCTTTTTTAAAAGATCGCCCAGGGCCTTGGCCTAAGAGCTGGAAGCTGTTCGGAGTGATAGAGAAGTCATGGAAGCAGCTGAGAAGGAGGAAATCAGGTAAAGGCCAAGTGCTCCTGCAGTGACTGACCCCAGGGTCCCCAGAAATGGGGTAGTACCTGAAAACATTTTGGCTTTGAAGATTTCATTGATTTTTTTTTTTAATTTCTCTTCTTATTTGCATGTTTGGTATTTGCTCTCCTTTATCTTTTCTCTCAAAATATTAATAGCCTCTCGTAAAATACTTTCAGGATGGTTAAATAGGCCAGGTGCAGTGGCTTATGCAAGTAATCCCACAGCATTTTGGGAGGCCAAGGCAGGAGAATCACTTGAGTCCAGGAGTTCGAGACCAACCTGGGCAATCTAGGGAGACTACCCCCCCCACCCCCCCCCCCCCCCCCCCCCCCCCCCCCCCTCCCCCCCCACAAAAAAAAAAAAAAAAAAAAATGCCGGGACTGGTGGCACACACCTGTAGTCCCAGCTACTTAGGAGACCAGTGGAGGATCCCTTGAGACCAGTAGTGAGCTGTGATCTTGCCCACTGCACTCCAGCTTGGGCAATAAAGTGAGACCCTGTCTTCAAAAAAAAAGGGTTGTTAAATAACATTAACAGTGGAAAAGTTGCAGTGTGAACTCTAGCACGTGAATTTCAGGCATGTTGCTTTCCAAGTTCAGCTATAAACACCTTTCTATATCATCCCAGAGTTAACTCTTCAAAGCTGGAAAGAGGAAACATAAAATTCTCCAATCTTTGTGCACTTGATTAAAATAAACTGGGCCGAGTTGCTTATACCTGTAATCGCAGCATTTTAGGAGGCCTAGGTGGGCAGATTGCTTGAGCCCGGGAGTTCAAGACCAGCCTGGGCAACATGGTGAATCCCTGTCTCTACAAAAAAAAGTTTTTAATTAGCCAGATGTGATGATGTGGCCCTGTAGTCCCAGCTACTTAGGAGGCTGAGGCGGTAGGATAGCTTGAGCCCAGGAGGTGGAGGTTGCAGTGAGCTGAGATCATGCCACTTTACTTCAACCTAGGTGGCAAAGCAAGATCCTGTCTCAAAAATACTTTTAAAATAAAATAAACTGGCAAAGACAGTTCAATGAAGGATAAACAATTTTTTAGTATGGCCAAGTGTATCTGCCTAGCTTTGTTTTTTTCGTCTGTTGTGTTCAGTCATAGCTTTCTACATAATCGTGAACATGCTGACTACAGATGCACTCACAGCAGTGCCTGAAAACCAGTGTTATTTTTTTCTGCTTATAATCTGTAGTTGTTTTAATCAGATGGAAGGTAGTTTAAATACATGTACTCAAACTGCAATAGACATACATCTTGTTCATGTTTTATTCCAGAAACAGCTCTTCTGGAAACTTGATTTTAAAAAACTTTGGACCCTAGATTGTCACCTTATCCTAAAAAGCAAGAGATTTCCCCTCTGCATCTGTTCTGTTTTTATTCTAGCACCTTGCACCTCTATTAAAGCATTTGTCAGCTTGTATTGTTATTGCTGGTAAAACACTTACAGACAGCTTGAACATTGTCCGTTATCTTCCCCAGAGCCTATAACCCAGGAAGAATATTCTGAAAATATTTTTTTTAATAAATCAGTCAGTGGGTTGTGGTTGTTAGTTTGTCTGGTTGGTTGATTTTGGTTTGGCTCCTTCAGGTTTTACTTTTGCAGTCATAGCCTTCAGTACTATTTCCAAAAAATGTGTCCTCATAAGTGACAGTGCTCTTTTCCCATTACTTTCAGAGTAATCCCAGAACTTGATGTTTTGTTGTTTACCTCAGAGGATTTACAAAAGGTTATTGTTCTGAAGCATAATGTGCTATTGTGTTATACTATGGCTGTGACACAGTTTTGCTTTGCAGAATAGACTCCAAAGGTTTATTTCGCATGTTCATACTATAGTTAGAGAAGGTACAAAAATTGGACTCACAAACCCTGTGTAAAATAAATTTCTCAAAATGTCTTTTTATTTAGTGTCAAAGATGAAGCTGTGGATAAAAACATTTTCAGAGACTGCAACAGGATCGCATTTTACAGGTAAGGAAAATAAATATAGTACCTACATGAAATATTACTGACAATATTTCAAAATTGATGCTTAGTAAATTTTTGAGAACTGATAGACTTTCCAAAGAAAGGATAATTAAATAATTAAGGAAATCATCAGAAGGCTCACTTTTAACCCTACACATTTACTCCTGAAGTATTTAAATTTTTCAATAAACAGCTATTTAAAAGCCAAACTAGTTTTAAACTAGTTTTTAAACGTTGACACTTTGAATAGATAACACTTTTACATGGTTCAAAAATAATATAAAAATATATACACTGAAAAATGTTACTTCCACTCAGTCCTCATCTTGTTCCGAGTAACCAAATTTCTTCATTTTTTATTTATGCTTCTAGTATTTCTTTTTGTGAATATATGTATTTTTATGTTATTCCCTCTTTTTTTTATCACCCCTTTCTTATACCAAATAGGTTTTTTTTTTCCTGCTGTATAGTTTGTTCTGAGGAGCAATTCATATGAGTACATGGAGATTGTTTCCTCTTTTTACAGCTGCATAATATTCCATTGGGTAGATGTATTATTAATATAATTTATTCAGTCTGTCTCTTATTTCTAGGCCCTTGGGTTGTTTTTAATCTATTGCTAAAATAACACGACTGCAATGAAGAGCTATACATAGGTCATTTTCTACACATGGAGGTGTATTTATAGGATACACTTCTAGAAGTGGGATTACTGGGTCAAAGAGTAAATGCATTTGTGTTAACTATTACCAGATTTCCCTTCATAGGAATTATACCATTTGTACTCCTATCACCATTATATAAGATTGCCTGGCCAGGTGCTATGGCTCATGCCTGTAATCCCAGCACTTTGGGAGGCTGAGACAGGTGGATCATCTGAGGTCGGAAGTTTGAAACCAGCCCGACCAACATGGGGAAATTGCGTCTCTACTAAAAATACAAAATTAACCGGACATGGTGGCTCAAGTCTATAATCCCAGCTACTCAGGACACCGAGGCAGGAGAATGGCTTGAACCTGGGAGGTGGAGGTTGCGGTGAGCTGAGATGGCACCATTGCACTCCAGCCTGGGCAGCAAGAGTGAAACTCCATCTCAAAAAAAAAAAAAAAAAAAAAAATTGCCTGTTTCTCCAGGGCTGCAAAAAATACTTAAAATCTTCATTAAAAAAAAAAAGTCTTCCTTTATGTGATCTTGAAAGTGAAATCATCAAAAATTATCTAGTGCAGCTTGCTTTTTTTTTTTTTGAGACGGAGTTTTGCTCTTGTTGCCTAGGCTGGAGTGCAGTGGCGCAATCTCAACTCACTGCAACCTCCACCTCCCTGGTCCAAGTGATTCTCCTGCCTCAGCCTCCCAAGTAGGTGGTATTACAGGCATGCACCACCACACCTGGCTAATTTTGTATTTTTAGTAGAGATGGGGTTTCTTCATGTTGGTCAGGATAGTCTCAAACTCCTGACCTCAGGTGATCTGCCCACCTCCGCCTCCCAAAGTGCTGGTATTATAGGCATGAGTTGCTGCATCCAGCTAGTATAGCTTTCTAATGTATTCACTCTCTGTTCTATAGGAAGAAAAGCATATTATTTTAATTCTGAACAGATATCTAGAGAGAAGTCTACAGTGAATGCCTGGTAACCTTGTTAAACCACTAGATTATATTGAATTCCCACTACAAATTGTTGACTTACTTTTAAAGTCCATTTTTTGGAAAGAGGGAAGGAAATTAACAAGCTCACAAATGTCATCTATGAAAATTGCCCCACCGTCTCAATAAAGGAAACAAGATGTCATCCTTTGAGCAATGTTACATGAATCACTTTTTTTAGTTTTCTTACTTATATTCATCTTATTAGCACTCTAATAATAAAGTTTCTGATTAGTACTTTATTATAGTACTATTACTGTTTGTACCCTGAAATTCACTGAATATCAGAGTGAATTTTAATGACTTCCACATAATACAGTCTGTTAGATATTGACAATCACACATAATTTTCAAGCATCTGTATACTTTGTATCTATAGGCGTCAGAAACAGTGGCTTTCCAAGAAGTCCACCTATCAGGTATTACTAGACTCAGTCACGACAGTTGAAGACAGCACCAGGTTCCAAATCATCAATGAAGCAAGCAAGGTGAGATGGAAGTATTTTCTACAGAGAATAATTTGTGTCTGTATTTATTGGGGCTGAATGAAGTAAATTTCCACAAAAGCCAATTAAAGCTATGTGTGCTTCAAAAATAAACCTAATTAGAAAAGGAATATTGGCCATTTAGTGATTAGTGGCCCACACCTGTAATCCCAACACTCTGGGAGGCGGTTGGCGAGCAGATTGCTTGAGCCCAGGAGTTTGAGAACAGCCTGGGCAACATGGCAAAACCCATCTCTACAAAAAGTACAAAAAATGAGCCAGGCGCAGTGGTGCATGCCTGTAGTCCTAGCTACTCGGGAGGCTGAGGTGGATGAATCTCTTGAGCCTAGGGGGGTCAAGGCTGCAGTGAGCCGTGGTAGTGCCACTGCACTCCAGCCTGAGTGACACAGTGAGACCCTCTCTCAAAAAAGGAAAAAGAGCTGGGCGTGGTGGCTCACACCTATAATCCAAGCACTTTGGAGGCCAAGATGGGTGGATCACCTGAGGTCGGGAGTTCAAGACCAGCCTGACCAACATGGTGAAACCCTGTCTTAAAAAAAAGGAAAAAGAAAGAAAATGAATGTCATCTTTTTATATCTATACTAATAATACTATAATAGATACATGAATATCAGTTTAGATTGCCTGTGTATCAGATGTTTTCCTAAATGTTTGACAAATGTTATTTCCTTTAAATTAGTCTTCATAACACATCTAAGAGGTACATTATGTTATCCCCAATTTTCAGATAAGGAAAATAAAGTCTAGAAAATCACTTACCCAAAGTCTCATATTTAGTAACCAAACTTTTCTCCTGCATCTGTCAGACACCACCCACATGCTTTCTAACACTATTACACAGTGCACATGCAGCCTTAGCAAGGTACAAATTCAGGGTATGTCCAAATCTCAAAATGCAGGTGAGCTGAGGGAACATGACAGGCAAAGGGACTACGCAATTGAAAGCCTAAGTAACAGTGTTCTGTCACCTGAGCTGCTTCACTAGTAGATTACCATAGTTAATGCCTTCTGAGAGGGTTAGAGAAGTATATCTTAAGTGCTTTATCTCACCCGTGAAGTTGTCATGTTACTTTAGATGGGCCAGTCATAGAAGAAGCACTATGGGCTGTGCTAGGAAGTGTGACTGTGCACCACTACCTGATGCCCTCAACCTGACCCTCACTTCCAGATCCTCCCTGCATTCTAAAGGCATCCTAAGTTTCTAAGGCCTCTCAGACCAATCTGACTTAACCGGTGATTCATATCACTGAAAGACAGTTAAGGCCATCAGGTCTGGGTCCCCTAGCTGCTTGGATAATAACTGCACCAACTTACTAACAAGTCCTTGGTCTGGGAAGCTGAGGTTTATGGCAAAGCTGTGAACTGTGTGACTACCATAGTTTCTGTCCTGCAGTGCTGTACTGAGGAAACATATCAGAGAATACAGAACAAAAACTGCCCTACATTAGTGAGTTCTCCATAATATTTGTAAGGCCTTTAATGTAGAAATGGGTCCCAACTTTATTCCCAGACAAAAAGAGCAACTGTGCAGTGAGAAAAACTACCTTCGTTGTGGATTTATAGAGATTTTAGTCATATGGAGTCCTCTTCCATAACTTTCTTGCCCAAATTTAAAATATGAGCTAGAATCATATCAGCAGTTCTGTGTTCTCTATCCCCATCCTCTGTCCTCAACTTCTACAACATAGTTATTGTGACAGTGCACTTAGTTCATCTCTCTTAGCTGTACAGATGAGGCAGTTAGCCTTTCTCCAAAACCTAGTGCTGATTCTTACCCTACCCATTTTTCTGGAGGTATTTGCCCCCTTGCCTAATATCTTTGTTACATTTGAGTTCTCAGCTCATGGTACCCCCAAAGCCATAGGTTCCCTAATCTCTAATGCTGATTCAGGTTTCCCTTTATATCCATATATATATATGGATATCTCATTTTATATCCATATTATAATACATATATATATATATATATATATATATACATTTGTTACATAGTTATACACATGCCATGGTGGTGTGCTGCATCCATCACCCCATCATCTACATTAGGTATTTCTCCTAATGCTTTCCCTCCCCTAGCCTTGCACCCCCTGACAGGCCCCATGTGTGATATTCCCCTCCCTGTGTCCATGTATTCTCATTGTTCATCTCCCACTTATGAGTGAGAACATGCGGCATTTGGTTTTCTGTTCTTGTGTTAGTTTGCTGAGAATGATGGTTTCTGGCTTCATCCGTGTCCCTGCAAAGGATAGGAATTCATCCTTTTTTATGGCTGCATAGTATTCCATGGTATATAAGTGCCACATTTTCTTTATCCTGCCTATCACTGATGGTCATTTCGGTTGGTTCCAAGTTTATAATGTTTTTAATATATCCTTTTGTAGCCTAGTTTGATAGCTGTTCATGAAAAAAATGGGGCAGCACTAATTTCCTTCTGGAGAGCCAACCACTGTTTGCATGTGGTCTCATAGCCTGACATCCAGTCAAACCCCTGTTTTCAGGGTCATCAGAAACAGTTGGCTCCAGGAAATGCATTAAGTCCACCAGAGGCCTTCTAGGAGTCTTTAGGCCTTGACCAGATGTCAATAATCTTCCTGTCTCATTTTTCTTGTCATTCCCTCATTTTCCTTCTTGTTTCCATGGCATCTAACCTGAGAGACTTGTAGTTGTCTATGGTCAGGGCAAGAATCCCTACCCATCCTTGAGGGTGCCTAGGATGTTGAGCACCTGGTCCTGAAGACATGTCCTGAGGCAAAGTAAATGAGGCAGAATCGCCCTAAATATCAGTGGTGAGCGAAAATGAAAATTCTCAACACAGTGTGATACCAGTTTGTGGTGGACACCCACATATGCCATTTTACATTACTGTAGATCAGTTTCTCTTTTTGGATCCTGAAAATGTAAGAGACAGTACTGTTCAGGTCAGGTGCCAGGACCAGAGCCCAGAAACTGGATGCCTTCAAAGGCAAAGAAACTACAGTCTAGGAGGAGCCACGGGATCTCGGCACAAGACAGCCCCGGATTTAGAAAGAAGCTGAGGAACCTGATAAACAAGGACAAATTACCTGGAACATCAGCAACATAGCTCCCAAGAGTGACAACTTTGAGAACCTCTTGAAACAGACTTCATGCTCAGGTATTAGAAGTATTAGAACCACATAGGGAATCTGCATGCATGTCAGGCAAATGTATGCAAATATATATTTTGGGAGATCACCCTGAAATTCTGGACTGAACTCCATTTTAATGTCCTCCTTGTCATGTGGTGTTGAGATGACTAGTAGGTACATAAGGTTTCATGCCCTCTGTCAGTCTGATAGGGACAACAGAGATGATGGTGATTGCTAACTTTGCCGGCATCTTGTATGCAGCTCATTGCATAGTGAAAGAGCCTCTATTAGGCTAGCCATGGTGGCTCACACCTATAATTCCAGCACTCTAGGAGGCCAAAGAAGGCAGATCACTTGAGGCCAGGAGTTCGAGACCAACCATGGCCAACACGGCAAAACCCTGTCTCTACTAAAAATCTAAAAATTACCTGGGCATGCCTGTAATCCCAGCTGCTCCAAAGGCTGAGACATGAGAATCGCTTGACCCTGGGAGGCAGAGGTTGCACTGAGCCAAGATTGTGCCATTGAACTGCAGGCTGGGCAACACAGTAAGACATTGTCCAAAAAAACTTGACCTAAAATATGGCAAAGATAGCATGGAAAAAGAAAATTACAGAATAACTTACTTATGAACATAAGTGTAAAAATCATGAAGGCTATACTAATATAATAAAGTGAATCCTTCAGGGTAGTAGGATATTGTAGCCAAGAGGTTATATGTATGCATTGATTTAATTGCCAAACTGCAAAAGTCTTGAGAAACAGTCTCTTTTAAATTCCCGTTTAGGCAGATACAGTGGCTCATGCCTGCAGTCCCAGCATTTTGGGAGGCCAAGGCAGATGGATCACCTGAGGTCAGGGGCTTGAGACCAGCTTGGTCAACATGGTGAAACCCCGTCTCTACTAAAATACAAAAATTAGGCCAAGTGCAGTGGCTTATGCCTGTAATTCCAGCACTTTGGGAGGCCGAGGTGGGCGGATCACAAGGTCAGGAGTTCGAGAAGAGACTGACCAACATAGTATAACCCCATCTCTACTAAAAATAAAATTAGCCACGCATGGTAGCATGTACCTGTAGTCTCAGCTACTCTGGAAGCTAAGGCAGGAGAATCTCTTGAACCCGAGAGGCAGAGGTTGCAGTGAGCTGAGACCGTGCCACTGCATTCCAGCCTGGGTGACAGAGCCAGAGTCCATCTCAAAAAAAAAAAAAAAAAAAAAAAAAAATTAGCTGGGCATGGTGGTACATGCCTGTAGTCCCAGCTGCTCGGGAGGCTGAGGCAAGAGAATTGCTTAAACTTGGAAATCAGAGGTTGCAGTGAGCCAAGATTGTGCCACTGAACTGCAGCCTGGGCAACTCAGTGAGACTGCCTCAAAATTCTTTTTCTTTAAATAACAAAGAACCCCTATTAATAATGGTTTCTGGGATGAGATGGGTGTTTCAAGGAGATTGCACATTAAGATATGATTTGAGTGTGATCTGAAGTTTTAAAATAAACTGCATACATACACTTATTCAGAATGATAGCTTTTTATTTCAGGTTGAGAAGGACAGCTCACAGTCTAGGAGGATCATGTTCAGCTCACAGCTGCAGTTCTCAAATTGCACTGATCATGCAGATTCTGACAAATCCAATACTCTTGGTGCCTGCCTGCCGCTACATCTTTACAACCCTTAAATCAGTAATTCAGAGTAATTCAGAGTTGTCAAGATTTGTTAATTTTTGAATTTCTTCCTCCCAATTTCCTTCCCCAATCTGCTCCTTAATAAACAACCAGGAAGCAGAACCAAGCTTCATTTTACATTGTGTTAGGCTGCCATAACCAAATATCACAGGCTGGGCAGCTTAAACAACAGATACTTATTTCTCGCAGTTC